TGGCAACCCCACTGGAGTCAGTCCAGAAAGCTCGAAGTCTTAATTACTAAATTTCGATGTCGTGTCCCCCCCCCTAAACCTGTATCTACACAGAGCTGGTCAGACAACATCACCCCTCTGCGCATTCTGCGGAGAAATGGAATCACTAGATCATTATTTTTTGTATTGTCGCCGCTACGAGATACTTAGAAAAAGGTTACTAGTTATGCCATTTCGGAAAATAGGCCTTAGATTGACGGCGGAAACGGCGCTGAGCTTTGGCGCCTCAGCCTTGGGACATTGCCACAGGGATGCTTTCAATGCCGTTTGCGATTATATTCTGGCAACCAAGCGTATACCTTTGTGATCTTCAATCAAAAAAAAAATTATTTATTACTCCCCAGGGCAGAGTGAAGTAAACGCAGCTGAGTAGTAATCATAACACCTCAGATCTCAAAATTGCTCAACTTGATTTTTTTTCATTTTCTCTTTTTATGTTGTTTTTATTTTTACATTAGTCTTATTATAATACCAATTCATTACACATAGTTAAAATGATCACAGAAAAACTGCACTACACTTTCTTGGCCAATCCCCCTGAGTGGGTATGAGCCAACTTCCCAGGGAAACAAAACAAAACAAAACAAAGTAACAAAGCCTCTTCTATCCGACATAACGATTTTTTTTCAATGACGAACAAGCAAAATACAAGCACCTTAACCACGTGAGGCGTTATAAGTAGGTCCATCTGTGGCTCAGGCGTCTATCGCACAACCACATAAGGCGTGCATCGGTAGATATATATTTGTGCAGCGCAACGGCATGCGACGTGGGGAGCGATGTCACTAGGATATCGCGTGTAACAGAACCTTCATGTATACGGAAACACCAGAGATAATCGTCCGAGACCGACATTCATATTGACAATTCTGACGAGAAAGACTAGTCGCTGTGATTTGACACGGTCGACTTAGGACTTCCATGTCCAATTAATCAGCGGCGTGCGTAGTTGATTTATTGATATGTGGGGTTTAACGTCCCAAAACAACTATATGATTATGAGAGACGCCGTAGTGGAGGGCTACCGAAATTTCGACCACCTGGGGTTTTTTTAACGTGCACTCAAATCTGAGCACACGGCCTACAACATTTCCGCCTCTATTTCCGCCGGGATTCGATCCCGCGTCCTGCGGGTCAGCAGCCGAGTACCTTAGCCACTAGACCACCGCGGTGGGGTGCATAGCCAGAGGAAATCGTCCGAGTCTTCAACATTTATATTTACAATTATGACGAGAAAGACTGGTCGCTGTGGTTAGACACGGTCGACTTAGGACTGCCATGTCCTAAGTCGACCGTGTCTAACCAATCAGCGGCGTACGTAGATCATTGATTTATATGTGGAGTATAACGTCCCAAAACCACCATATATGATTATGAGAGACGCCGTAGTGGAGGGCTCCCGAAATTTCGACCACCTAAGGTTATTTAACGTGCACCGAAATCTGAGCACACGGGCCTACATCATTTTCGCCTCCATCGAAAATGCAGCCGCCGCAGCCAGGATTCGATCCCGCGACCTGCGGGTCAGCAGCCGTGTGCTGTAGCCACTAGACCACCACGGTGGAGCAGCGTGCGTAGTACATCGTACAGTTTTTGTCACTAGAATCCTAACAGAGCGACCACACAATAATTGCCATTACATGGAAGTAGTTAAGCACTACACACACTTATTAGCACTTTAGTGGTAGATTGCATTGGCACCGCAGGACATCTTTTTTAGCAGGATTAGAGCGGTGAGTGAATTTTCATCTCAGTAACACACCCCAAGGGAAAAGATTCTCTCATTTGCACCTTAGAATACTGTCACCTTTGCACTCGTTGGTTTGCTTTACGATTAAACATATCCATGACATTTCAACAAAGAGCGGTCACATCCTATACCAACAATTCTTACAATTTTCACGATTAAGGTACTAATTAATGCAGTAAAGCTAACAATAATATTTTAATAATATCTTGAGTTTAACGTCCCATAACGACGAAATGATTATGAGAGTATTGGAGAGCCGAGGTTCTTTAACGCACATCTAAATTTAAGTGCACGGGCTTCGCCCATTTCCATTCCAATTGAAAATGCAGCCACCGTGGCCGGGATGCTATCCCGCGACCTTCGTGTCGGTAGACAAACGCCATAACCACTAGACAACCGTGACGGGGCAATACAGTGAAGCTCTCGTTTGGGCTATTTGGTACATTTCAGAAGATATGTATTGCTGAACTGCGCGAAAAAAAAAAAAGCACGGACGATGGAGAGTGCACAGGAAGAGCACAAACTTTCACTGTAAAACGAAAGGCCAAAGCAGCTCAACATCAATAAACATCAGCTTGACACATGCTCATAAATCAGTACAATAAAATCAGTGAATAAGAGATACCATATCAAAGGACTACAGTTCAAACGCCAAACCAACAAACTATCGAGAGTGATATGAAATGTAACAATGATGAGCAAAGACATGTGCACACGGCTCGCAGGGTGGTTAGCACATTTGAAACACTTTTATTTTTGTTCGACCATCCTCGCTCAATCTGGAATCCTTTTTGCTGCTTCGAAGGTACTATGGCATTTAGGAAAAACATTAGGCACACTTCACCGTACAAGGCGACACTTCATTACCGCGAACGTTTTCGACATTTTTCCAATGGACAATGCTGCGGTAGGTTTTCAAGGTGTCCTCGGCGTGAAAATGCACATCGCAAACTCGTGATTCTTCCAAAAGCCTTCTGTAAAAACGGGGTAATAGCGCGAGCCCGCATTGGACGGAGAGACGGATCACGTGAAGGTCACAAGTGTCTCGGGCACTTGTTATTGCTATAGCCGCTTGTGTATACACGCACACAACAAGTCGCCATTGCAGACGAACGAACATCCACGCTGCATAGAACACAACAGCATGCAAAATATTATCAGTCTGCGTACTGCAACACGCGGACACAGACTTACCGCAGCTAAGCACACACTCTATCCGGCGCACGTTGCTGGACTGGCTGAAGCCTGTTGCGACAAGAGCGCCGCTTCCAGCCACCGCTTGCGGCGGCGCCGCATAACACTGCCCAGTTTTCAAACTGAACAGGCTCTATAAACGTTCCCTAGGCCTAACTTAAATATCTAAGTGAACATTTCGGCAACGTAAATACTTTCTTGTTTGGTGCATGGTTCATTTTATTTGTTTTTATTGTTACTGAAGAAACTTTTAACATTGCTACGCGCAGTCATAGAGAAAATCATTCCCGTTTTTTTTTTTTTTTTGCTATTCGCTGTTCTTTAACTTCTTCGCCCTCCACTAGGTGGCACCACTGTTCCAGCTGAGACACGTCAAACACGTAAGAGCTATCCCGCTAAACTACAAGGCGCTGTCTGCAACGAACATTTGCGGCACGGTAACTCTATTCCTTTAATCCCCGCTATCTTGCTTACGGTAAAATATAACTGTCTGATGTGACGCTTAACATTTTTCAACGTGAAAGAAGTTGCCAAGCGTCACGTGGTTAGAATGTTTTTTTTTTTTTGCAGCACCTAAGGGAAACACTAATCTTGTACAGGTCCAACGAGAAAATTGAAAGGGAAATATTTGAGGCCTTCTTCATTGCTAGAAGTGACAAATGCGTTAGCACGCTCTCGCTCACTTTGCTTCCTAAGAAGCTGAAATTTTTAGATGGTGTTGGGTAATCAAACATAGTCGCCTTATTGGACAGTGCGTTTTGCCAGTTTGCACTCTGTGCGCATGCCTTTGCCGATCTTGTTATATTACGTAACACTATCAGCTGTTTCTTGTTTGCCTTTTGATACGGTATTACTTTTTATCAATTTTGTAAGTGATTTATGGGCACGTTTGAGGCTGATATTTGTGGATATTGAGCTGCTTTTGCCTTTTGTTTCACAGTTCAAGTTTGCACCTGTTCTGTGCACCCTCCTTCGTCCATGCTTTTTTGAGGCAGTCCAGCAACTGTACCCAGTAACGGTGGTTGCAGTACCAGCAAGTACGTGAATAAATAAACACACACTCTGGAGGCTCTAAAAACTGTGTGAGGACTTCGGTATGTCTGCTCATGTGCCTATTGAACAAACAAAAAACAATAAAGTAAGGGCTACTCACTTTGTCGAAAAGTTTATCTAGATTTGTAGGAGGTCTGTGTGAACGTTCGTTTACTCGAGAGCTGAATGATAGCATCACCAAATTTCCTGTTGTTATTTTACACGCGCAACTATATACCACGTCTTGTTCTGTGAAGTTGTTCTAATAATCACTATTTGGTCGCACATGCCTGGAAACTATCAGAAGTACGATCGAAAAAGACTAATCATTCTACTGAAGCAACCAAGCTTGGACATATTTTTTTATTATGAAAATATTCGCATGACATCAAGAAGGCAGCATATTATTCTGATTCGGAGCGCTTTACTTTGAAAAAAAGCTGCAGAACACTGGTGCTGTTAGACACTCTCACGTGTGCCTGCACACCTGTTATTTTAGCCACAGCTCGCTATTTATTTGCAGTAAACAAGCAAGACTAAATTAAGAAATTAATTCGGCATACACACCAACTCTTGTCTCACAGTTTTCATGTGAACGATTCGCGCCTTCGCTGCCTTCATATCATTATCAGCAAAACAGCTACAACAACAATGCCACTGTCTTGTCAAAGCAAAAACGCGTCTTCGAGATCTGCGTTCCGGACCAACATACTTAGCGGAAGTCTCGGAAGCGATGCCACAGTGAGACATTCTATACACGATTGTTAGACAGCCTTCTTTGGCTTTTAACAGTGCGTGCCCGATACCTTGCACGATGCCATCATCTCACACAAAAAACAGGGCTGCTTATCATTGCACAGGTTGCTATTAACTTACTGAAACACAGAAATCCTTGCATAATAGGTTCATAGCAGTGGTCACACAATTTACTTCTTGGAAGTCACTCTCCGATTGTTGCGCACTTTTACCTGGCTGTGGTCAACGTTCAAGCGTTCACGACAGCACCTGGCTTCGTGGTTCTCTTAAGAAGAGACAACCAAATGTAGCGATAGTCCTTAAAGCCGAAGAACAAGTACACTCCTTGCAAACCGACGAAGCCATTCACTACAGAGTCGATGATTAGGCTCGGAACAAAAGATCCAGCTAGGGCCACCACCCATGGTGCGCCCATGATGAAGGACAGGCGAACAAAGAGCGCGAGGTTTATCCGTTGTTGACCATGCCTCCGGATGTCCTTATACACGGGTTGCCGAGTGCTGTCCGCGCATTCCGCTGCGGAAGATGTCTTGCGAATGTAGCGGACCGTCTTGAAGTAGAGAACGTGACAGAATAACACGAGAGCAGCCATGGGCACAAAAAAGTAGAGCATGAGACCAAAGAAAGAGCCGATAAAGCATATAGGGTGACCGTATCTGGGAGACAACACCGAACCAGGAGCCACTTGATTCACGGTCAAGGCAGCGCTGAGTACAAGCAAGGGCACGCCCCAGGCGAGAAGACAGTACAAGTTCAATCTGCCGCCACTGCTCGAAGACGTCTTGGTGGTTGTCAGGCTCTTCCAGATGTCGTAAGAGAGAACACATGTCCACAAGAATGTACTGAGAAAAAAGTAGTGGGAGAGCACAGCTCCGGTGAAACAAAAGTACTTCGCGAGGTTTGCACACTTGGTGACGAGCAAGAGCACTTGGGCGACCAGCAAGGTCACTGCGAGACACATGATGCAAACGGACGAGGATCTGCGAGCCTCCTTGTAAACGCAGAACACAGCAATCTTGAGGATGAGAAATAGTATGGAGAGGTTAGTGCAGATGAAAACGACGTAGTGCTCAAGACTGTGTTTACTTTGCCACTTTGGCCTGTATCCCAATGGAGAATGCAGTTCCATTGACACGTCGCTTGCTGCGATGTCTCGGTGAACTTTCGAACTTTCACGTGCGATAAAACTTTCTGGAGAGCATATGATGTAACAGCGGCCGCCGTAATTAGCATAGAATTGAAGTGTTCTTACGGCTGGCTTCAGCGTGCGAAGTAGAAGAGAGGGAGCGTGGTTAGGTGGACTGCAAGATAGCAATGAAACCTTCACGGCGTACAGAGGGCGCAGTAGGCATTCTTGTACACAGGCGAATCTGGGTTTCTCGCGTTTCGCACAGGTGCATAGTAGACCTTGCATTTCAGGGACACGGCCTCGGTAACGTTTTCAGGGCATGTGTTGACAGCAATGGTTTGGTTACAAGGCCTGAGGGATGGGTTACTTCTGACAGTGCCGCTGTCTGTCTCCTCCTTTTCTTGTCCCTCGTTATTGGCGCCGTTTTTTATGTGAATCACGTCGTACCAAATCGCCCAAGCAACCAGGTTAGCGACTTGTGGAGGCAAGATGTGGACTGCTCTATCAGCTTCGTACAGCGCAACTCTCCAGAAGGTCACATTAACGATGTCGTTGTTCCACCAGGCGCAAAATCCATTCCTGAAATTACAGAGCGCCAAGTTGATAAAATGTCAGGGTAACATGCGAGGTCAGGGTGGCCACACTGCCAGTAGCATGAACAGCTTGTACCAAACGAACTAAATATTCAGTTATGATGCAACTGTATTAAGTACCTCTTCACTCTATACGACTGTGCATCTGGAAAAAATAAACCACAATCGCTACAAAAGTGCGAAGGTGTGACTCTGTGTAAAGATAACGCGATTTACTATGGCCTAGAATAGACAAGTAAAAAAAAAGAAAAGATGGCGTATCCCTTAGTCATAGGAGCCGGTACAACGCGAACGTGAAATGTAGTGGTTACTGTGTAGTAGTATACGAAAGTTGGTACGATGTATATTGGTGTTTGGCAACGGTAGCATCGTTACACACACACACACACACACACACACACACACACACACACACACACATATATATATATATATATATATATATATATATATATATATATATATATATATATATATATATATATATATATATATATATATATATATACTTAGATAGATAGATACTAAAATTGCCAGCAGCACCCAAAGAAATGCTTCGCATTTAAAAGCTACATGTCCAGCAGACACACTTCCATAAACCAAGTAAGAGGAATTTTTAGAATTTTTAACAAATAACTGGTACTCAGTACATGTGGACCTTGAGGTTCCGATAATGCAGTGACTAAGCAACTCGCGAAACTATGCGCCGCGATAAATTTGTACCTGTGCAGACACCAAAGGGGAGATAAGCTAAGCACGTACAACCTATGAATGTAATCTTTTTTTTACAAGGGCTAGTTCGGATCATGTATCCCCTTTCGATGTGTTTTACTTTTCTGTTATTATCAAAGAATGACAAAAGCTCAGAGAAAATGTTCCAAAGAAAAAAAAAAACTCCTTAACATGGGATGTCACTGAAGCCTTAAGACATTTATGCCGTAAAATGTGTCAATACACCCGTGACAGTACACCTTCATCTTACAAAGGAAACAGCAGCAAATTATCATCATAATCATAACACTTCTTAGAGCTCTTACTGAGATCTGCCGCTGGAGCATGTCCACGTCATTGAGGGCCATGCGCTTGCGCATCGACAAATTAGGAAACTTAGGAATTACTGACAAAATATTGCAAAAACGAAGGTAATTGTAGAAGTAAGCTAACATATGCTTCATACTATGGGTATATGAGCTAAATGCTAATTATTACTAGCTATTTGCTAAATGCGAAGTGTTCGAAACTGCCTTGGGAGCATGAAAAATTGGCAACATTTGCATCGATTGGCAGAACAGTCATTCCGCATCTTGTACTTACACACGTACTAAAAAAGCTCCCGAGATATCAATGAGTCACCGGTGGCGTTTATCAGTGTACGGAGTGATGCAGGCGGAAACAGGCGCGGCGGTTATGAGAGCATAGCTGCGTACTCGAAATGTATCCCTGGGTACAAACGCGCACATATTATATACACTAATCTGGGCAATGCACCATTGCTCTTGCAGCAGTGCCACCTTACAAGTATTTTATTAAACAGTATCCAAGACCGTCTTTCAATGAATGGTGAAAACTCACATTAAGAGTTTCTTGAAATTACGTGTAGCATAGCGTTGGCGCAAAGTGCTACACGTCTTGTACTGTGCAATTTTCGTGCATGGTGATGAACTCAAGGTGTTTTTACCTACCCGGAGCCCTCAACTACGGCGTCTCACATAGCTTGGGCGGCATCGGGACGTAAAACCCCACAAAAATTGGGGAACCCTTAAGCTTCACCTGTAAGAGTTGAACGCGATAGCGAAATCCGGCCCCTAGTGCACAAGTCAACCGCCAAGTGCATACTTATTCATATGTTTTGTTACATACACACGCACGCACACAAACACGCACACAGTACATTGGACCAGTCAGTCCAATGCAATCCGTCCAGTGCGAGTGGGGTTACAATGGTTTGTCGCATGCTACAATTGCATTATCTTTTTTCTCGTCCGGACGAAAGCGCTGGAAGCAAAGCAGGAGGGGGTGGCCGGGAAAATAAACCACAGAGCCTTGTGACCTTGACCATTTTTTTTTCTTCGAATGCGCGGCTTTTTTAAAAAAGTGTGATCACGCGCGCACGCGTGGACAAGTAGCGGCTTCCCGCGGCTATCTCGGTAACTTGATTTTTCGCTCACAACCAACGGGGCTGACGCCGATGGCGGGTTTTCTGCGACACGAGCTCTTTAACGCTGTCGCGTTAAAACAACAAAGCAACACAGCGCACAAACACCATCATACCAATATGCATGAGACCCGAGCATAATACGGGCCTTCCGCAAGCCCCAGCCCGACCCGACCCTGAGCCTGAAAAGCCCGAGCCCGATCCAACAACCCCTTACCCAGCCCACGAGCCAGGCCGGGCTTTCGGGCTGGCCCGGGCCCGTGCAGTGCTCATCAAAAGACCGTGCGATAGATAGTGCGAAACATGCCGCGAAAGGTAACGTGTAAAGCTGGCTCTGGCTGCCCCGGTAGTAGCGCGGGACTTTCGTCATTCGTATTCGGCTCGCACTGCGGCAAAATCGGCACGGCGGCTGCATGGACTTTCTCCGTTGGCTGCGGCTGGTGAGCAACGGCGCGTAAAAAGCAGTGGAGTGGAGAATTCTTGCGGAAGCCGATGCTTCAGCTCGAGTTTCAAGAGCTGTACGCGTAAGAAATACGTTTTTTTACCAACGTACAAACATTTAATTTGCAATGGAGTTTTGCAGCGTGCCTTTTGTCTTTCTCATTCTGTGTGTCATTAATACGAGAAAGTACAGATACGCTAACACTCTGAATAACAAGATCACTCGAAACTCTGCACTACTGAAGCATCTAAAGTGGTTGCTTTGGCATGTTGGTACGACATATTGAAGGGAAACAAAGCCAAGAACGAAAGACCAGGGAGAGAAGGACAACGCTGCATCGCTGTTGTACGTGCCCCACTTAGCCTGCTCTTTCATTCTTTGTGCTGTTTCTCTCCAAAAACACAGAAACATACTAAGGTGACAAGCCGAAGCGCCGGACTCACCTGTATGTCCCACCACCAATGCTTGTTGCCGAGATGATATAAAACGTATCCGCGATGGACTCTGGCATGTCACACGCACGTCGTATGTCGTCGTTAGGCCATGTAACCAAGCAGCCAGTGATCATGTTAACCTGAATCTTCTTTCTGGGCGAGATTTGTACTTCTATGCACGAATTTCTTGACATCTGCGTACCTGAAGTGTAGGAAACCAAAACGTTCCAGCAGCAGTGCCCGTGCTTTCTGAGGTTACGTGTGCAAGCACACGCGACCAGGTTCACGTTCACGCCGCAGCTGATGAGGTCTTCTGAACAGCCGTAAAATTGCTGAAAGCAGTGAGCGAGCTTCTCAAGATCAGGCGCCGGTAAGTCCCGGTTCAACCACGTGAGCATGGTTAATGGGAAGCTGCTGTTACAGGGGTTCTTTGTCTGTGTGGTCTTGGGAGCGAAGCGACCAGTCACGGTGTTGGTTGTGACAAACCACAGAGTCCAGCTGAGGATGGTCATTGTGTAGCCGATTCGCTGCCTAAAAGTAACGCTCATGCCGGATTCAGTAAATGATCATGTCACTGTGACTGCTAGCTGAGTACGTAGCTTTCAAACAAACAAGCCCATTCAAGTGAACTCTGACCTATATAGATAAGATGATGAATGAGAAACTTACGCTATATTTGTATTTCTCTTTTGCCCAGGTAAGGACCTGGATGACGCCGTATGGCATGGGTGCCCGCAAACCCACGTTTCCCATTGTTTGGTTATATATTTATAGCACTAGGGGCTTTAATACTATGAAGGTACATTGTACCACGAATATTTAGACCTGGGCAAGTACGAGATCAGTCGAAGCACCATTTATGGAAAATGTATGGCCCGGTCGAACTCCCGTGTTTTCAGCGTGTTTTTAGCCGTTTTTAGAAGCCTGTTTCTGACGGGACGACACCTGGAGGTGGTCTATTGTTACAAAGATCGCGATCGCAGGTGTTTCTACCTTTCGGTCACCACTTTAAGGGGAGCGATGTCGCTTCATGCCCGATGAAGAACAAATTTAGGAGCAAGACGACGCCTTTTCTTTTCATCTTAAGGTTCACACTGGAACGTATACGTTTTCAGGACGATGCTGGCACATCCAGACACAGCTGGCGAAGGATGCAAAAAAAAAAAAACCTTCAGTAAATGTCAGCATTGCGGCTATCAGTAGGTTGATCGAAAGTCGTTGCATTTTAGCGAAAAAAAAAAAAACACGACTCATGGGGCAACAAAGAGAAACAAGACGTGCTGTTGTATTGCTCCCCGTACGTTTCACACCTTTACATATAATCTTCGCGAAAATTAGGCCCGCTAACGAAGCATAGAATTCATTCTAACACTCTG